CCTATCATTCCAAGAATGGGATTTTCCCCAAACCAGTTAATGTCAGCACTCTCAAATCAAGTGCCACTTTGGGATTGGGATATGTGACAAAGGCATGAGGGAGGGATAAGTAAAACACAATCTGTCTAGAGAAAAGTATTTTGATATGGGGTGGTAATACGTGAGAGTTACAATACAGGAGTATAAGCTACAGCGTCGACCGTTAGGTTGGAAAACTCAACCGAGAGCTCCATCACGGGGGTTCTAAGGGAGGGGAGAGGGGGGGGGGTGGAACTCTAGAGAGCTCCATCACAGGGGTGGTCTCATTCTAAGGTTCAAATTGGATTTTCAAATTATTACTACTTAGTAATTACTACCTACTAAGGTTCAAATTACTACTCCGGGGGGCTTACTAAAGTTCCCAACCCAGTTATAGAGATCATACCTCTGTTCACTGAGTTCTTGTCCTCGTGACACATGCCGTCAAACGGGGTAAAAAGGGACGGTTTTGAGCGTTTTTTGTTAATAACTTCTTACCATGAAACATTTCAGAAACAAGTTTAAGCTCATTTTATAGCTCTTTGCAAGGGTTATCCAATGGCATCTTAAAAAAATTCCATTTGCTATTTGTAAGGTGCCAGACGCAAAATAAAACCATCACAATTTACCCCTGGGAACGGGTAACCCAGGACACTTGCAATTAAAGTTAATTTTAAAGCGTTTGAAGCATGCTGAGTGTACTCATCCATTACTAACAGTACTTTGAAGTCCTCCTCTTTCATTGTAGATGATGTAAATGTAATATAAATGACATTTTCTGTGATTTTTACTTGTTTTTCCTTTATTGATATTATATTACCGTCAACCGGGGCTACTCGGGACAAGTGGGGCTACTCGGGACAGGCCTCCGACACGGCGTAAAACTGTTGTAGTAGCGAAACTAATTGGAATATTGCAAAACTAAAAATAGTGGCGTAAACATTAACATTTTTCCTATCTATGTAGTATAAAGGAAGTCGAAAAATACTACATTTACTTGCTTTGAAAAATTCTTGAAAAAAATGGTGAAAACCTATATTTTGTAAAGTTACAATTGCTAAGGTATGTAGCAAAAAAAATATTCGCCGTATTAAAAAATTTTACTTACCTAAAAGTTGCACCCAGGTGTCGGCTTGAAAATGTAATTGACTATAAAAAAAATTTGCCTATCTCATTCCAAAAAGAAATGGCAGCCATTTCCGCACGGCGGGGATACTCGGGACACCCCCCCGGGGCTATTAGGGACACCCCAAAAAACGCATTTACGGTAGAACCTCAGCAAAGGCTCCAATTACAAAAAAATTGATTAAAAACAAAGAATATTGATCACATTTTCCTTGCTCAGCGAAAAATTTCACTTATTGAAAAATTAGTGCATCATCGGTCATCACTAAAGTGTGCATAGCATGTCATGTATACAGAGGTGGGCAGTAGCGCGCTACATGTAGCGGCCGCTACTAGCGGCCACTACATTTTTAGTAGCGGTAGCGGCTCTACATTTAAGGCAATGTAGCGGTAGCGGTAGCGCCCGCTACATATTTAAGTAGCGATACGAGGTTTTGCCGCTACAGCGCTACCGCTACATTTATAGATAAAGCCTTTAGATTTTACTTAAGGGGACCGGCTACCCTCCAACAAAACTTTTTGTTTACAGACGGATCGTTTTGAAACTTTGTACACATATGTAAAACAGAAATCTAAGATCTTTTTGTTCGTGTAAATTAAAAAAAAATAGCCCAAGCTTTCCCATTGCCAATTATTTGCATTCAAGGTACCAGCACGCGTCTTTAGACCTATTTATATTCAATTTAACGTGAATAATAGCCTATAAATGGGACTTTTTATAAATAAATATCTATAAAATATTCATTTTACATAACTTTGCAACTGCATTACGCAAAAACTATTGCATGAACATCCATGGTAGTAGCTTTGTTAAACGCGTCTCGTTTGTAGCTTTCAAACGAGTGTAAGCACTTTGTAATTAACGAGAGTAAAGATCTATATATACAGATTTAATTCAAATAAATCTTTGTACATATTGTTAAAAAATGTTCATATATATATATTTAAAATTTTCTTACGCAAAAATTATAGCACGCACAGCCATGCGGTAAACTGCGTTATATATATAGACGCGCCTTTTCAGCAGCTACAAAATGAGTCAAGAAAACGGTAAAGCCAAAATTTCCGATTTTTAGGGTAGCCGGTCCCCTTAATAGTATTAAATATTATTTAAAAACCATCATGATACATACATAAAATAAATTACAGAATAAAACTGTACGAAAGATTTCGGTGTAATGTTGTCAACCTCAGCCTGTTACTAGTGTCAACATGTTAGTTGTTCCTTGTTAAGTTGTTACCAGTTACCACTTACAGGTTTTTTTCATCTTTCAGTTTGCTTACAGTTATTTTTACAGTTATTTTTATGATTTACCTTCCCTACATGGATGTCTACTTCAATCTACCAATCTCAAAAATAATCCACATATATATACAAAAAAAGACTGATTTTATATGTATATGTGAATAATTTCTTAGATTGGTAGATTAAAGTTCACATCCATGTAGGGAAGGTAAAACATAAAAATAACTGTAACTTCTATTTACTGTATCTAATCCTGGGGTAACCCATACTAGTTCGGTTAGGTTAATTGCAATAAAGTTGCATTGATATCATAATGATATGTTATAAAAATGTTTATTATCGTTAAATGTTAATGAGTAAATCCCAATAGCAGAACAAAAAATATTTAGAGATTTCCAATAATTTTTGCCATTGTAGCGGCTAATGTAGCGCGCTACATTTTACTGTAGCGGTAGCGGTAGCGCCCGTTACAATCTAGTGGATGTAGCGGTAGCGGTAGCGCCCGCTACATTTAGAGCATGTAGCGGTAGCGGTAGCGCCGCTACATTTCCAAGTAGCGCTGCCCAGCTCTGCATGTATAGAATTGTGCACCATGCATCATGGAATGAAAAGTAATTGACCTAAACTATGATTTATTTCTCCAAAAGATACGTTGGTTGTCACTGAAACATTCCTTTCTGTTTCAGGTATGCTTTTCACGATCTTTTTTACCATTCACTTAACCCAATTAAAATGATGTGAAATTACGAGCCGTCCTGTAAGCTTACAGATACAAAAAAAAAATGCTATAAGGCTGCTGATATGAAGCTTGCAGTGGACAAGGTTGTTGTAAATGCTCAATGGCATGTTCATGGATACGGTAATATTGCATCAATAATATGATAATTGCACATAAATAATACAGTAATTAATGTATATGGCAATATCATATCAATAAAGGAAAAACAAGTAAAAATCACAGAAAATATCATATATTCTACCTCTACATCATCTACAATGAAAGAGGAGGACTTCAGAGTACTGTTAGTAATAAATGAGTATGCTCTGCATGCTTCAAATGTTTTGAAATGAAGTTTTATTCCCATTGTCCCGAGTAGCCCCGACCAACGGGGCTACACGGGACAATCGTATTTTTGCGTCTGGCACCTTACGAATAGCATATAGAATTTTTTTTACAATGTCATTCAATAGCCCTCGCAAAGAGCTATAAAATGAGCCTAAATTTGTTTATGAAATGTTTCATTGTAAGAAGTTATTAACAGTTGTTAACAAAAAAACGATCAAATCTGTCCCGAGTAGCCCCGGTTGACAGTACCATATTCATTAATTACCGTATTAGTAATGTGATATTACTGTATCCATGGAAATGCCATTGAGCATTGACAATGACCTTGTCCACTGCAAGCTTCATATCAGCAGCCATGTAGCATTTCTTCTGTATCTGTAAGCTAACAGGATGGTTCGTAATTTCGCACAATTTTAATTGAGTCAAGTGATTTCATTATAACAAAAAAGATAACCATCATATGTTTTGGAGAAATAAATCATAGTTTAGGTTAATTACTTTTCATTCTTTGATGCCCAGTGCTTAATTCTATCTATGAGATTCTATGAACAATTTTGTGATGACTGATGCAGTAATTTTTTGTTAAGCAAAATTTTTTCACTGAGCAAGGTATATGTAATAAAAATTCTTTGTTGTTAATTTTTTCATTAACTGGAGCCTTTGCTAACCAAGGTTCTACTGTAAATGCAATTTTAGGGGTGTCCCTTATTCCCCCGTTTTGCGGAAATGGCTGCCATTTTTTCTTGGAATGAGACATGCAAATTCTGTCAATCACATTATTGAGCCAACACTAGTGTGCAACTTTTATGTCAGTAAAATTTTTCAATACAACAAATATTTTTTTCTACTACAGACCTTAGCAGAGGTACTTTTCCAAAACCTCTTTTCACACTTATTTTCAGGGATTTTTTAGAAGTAATAAATGTATGATTTTTCAACTTGCTTTATGCTGCATAGATAGTGAAAATGTTGAAGTTTATGCCACTATTTTTTTGTTTTGCAATATTTTGATTAGTTTAGCTGCTACAACATTTCTACAAAAATGTTGGAGGACTGTCCCTTATTACCCCATTTGACGGTATATATGATGTATTGTATAGCCTCTAGTGTGCAGCAAAATGTCTTCCACAGTTTAGATGAGTGAAATCTGTTGAGTGTTCAGCTAGTAATTGAGGTAATTTGGATTGACATTGTGTTTCTATATTTGTTTACATTCTGATCTAACTGAACCTCCAATTGGAAACTAGTACCGTATCTTTCTAGATTTTTAAGGAATGAGGCATGTTATAGTTTAAAATATTGATGTGATTAGACAAACTGAAATATTAATTGATGACCCAAGATATAGACAATATTACTATCAGGCACTTTACTGTGCTTGATAACAATTGTAATTTCCAGTGTTATTCATATTCTGTTGTGTGATCAACCTGGTCAGTGCAAATGGATTTTCTATAATAAATTCTAATCATTACTTTTTAATTATTTTAGATTCATGAGAATCTTTTGTACTATGATTTTGTATTTTGCTTACTGTGAAGAAATTAAACTAAATATCAACTTTTTTCTGTGCCTCTACAGCCCACCGATTTCAGCAAGCAGCTTAATTGTGCCAGTGCCTGTTGCACCAATGAATGTTTTTTCATTTTTGAAAAAGTTTAAATTGATGAAAACTGACATGCTCAATTTTTGACTAGCCTCAAGAACATTGGTAATAAATATATATAAATTAAATAAAAAAAAGCATTGTATAATAATCCAAGGAAAAATAGCATCAAACTGGAAGTAATAATTATATCTTTCATATTGAACTTCAATTTTTGAAAATTATTTCAGTCACCATGGTTTCTCTTGTGGAAAACATTTCTTCAGACCAAGAGAAAGACTGCTCTAATAATGATACAAGAAGCCAGAGAAAAATTAATTCAAAGAAACCTGCAAATCCACATTCATCTTCTGACCCAAGTTCAGACAGTGAATGTAGTAGCGATGCTTCACAAGCCATAAATAAGAAAAAGAAAGTAGTTCGGAAGAAAAGGAAAAAATCTGGAAAAAATTCTAATGAGTCAGGCACAGATGATGAGTTGCTACTTGATAAAAACAAATCTAAAGATTCCTCTAATTCAAAACTTTCCTCAGATCAAATTTCTCTTAAGCTAGAGGAATCAAATGCAAATTTAAGTGAGTCTGATATAAATGGTGAAGAAATGACCAAGAAGAAATGTGAATCAGTCGAACCTTTGCATAGTTCTGACTCTGACTCTGATGCCAACTGTGCAAGTCCTGGCAACCAAAACTCATCAAAGAAGCAGAAGCCATCAAAGAATAAGGGTAAAACATTGATAGTCAAGCTGGAAGCTTTGAAATTTGAGGGCCATGAAAAGACAACAATTTCTTCCAAATCTAGTAAGAATAATGGTGCAACTTTGATCAAAGCAGAGCTTCTTGATTCTTCAAGTAATGCAAGTAATTATGTTGCATCAGATTCTGAATCAGAAAAGTCCAAAATTGATTTTTGTAAACATGAGCTTTCAGACAGTGATGTTGAAGAAAGTAAAGCACTCTCAAAAAAGCTTCATCAAAAGTTCAAACATCAAAATTATCTCCAGAGTAAAAAACAAAATATTTCAAAAAAAGTAAAAACAGAAAAGAAAATAAAGAATAGTTCAAAAGATGTTGCAAGTTCGTCTTCAGATGATGAGCCACCTGCAAGATATGCATCTCCAAAACATGCTTCCACAGATAAGATCAAGAAACAAAAAGTTTCTGTCAAAAGTGCAATTAAGAAATCAGCGACCTCATCCTTGTCAGATGATGAGCCTTTGGCAATGAGAAAAAAGTTGGGGCACTCAAAATCAATTTCAACAAATCAAGTTGTCAGTGACAAAAACTCGAGTGATGAATCTACATCTGAAGCAGAGGATTTGGCATCAAAAAGTAATGGATTAGAGAACAAAACATCAAGGAATTGTGACTCATCTTCCAAAGATGACAAGAAATCTCAAGTTACTGTGAGTATTTGAAATTTTTGGGATAATTTTGATTTACTTATTAAACCTCAGAAAATTTCATCTTTAACATTTCAACATCCCATTTTTCTTGAAATTTTTTATATTCCTCTGATCTTTGTTCAGTCAATTCTAGGTACTAGTTAATTTGTAAATTATTTTATTTGCACTTGCTCTAATCTAGACTCAAGCTAAATTTGAGTTATTTATTGTTATTTTTTATCAATCTTAGCATCTTAATTCGAGTTCATATCTTGAAAACTCAATTGTTGAAATTTTTTATTCGCATTGCAAAGAAGCTACTAAGTATGTTTCTATACATTCCAGGTTTATCTATTCCTTGCCTGTGATTTGATCAAAGTTAACAAATTACACTCATTTTAGTATATATTAACTTCTGCCCATAAGTAGCTGCCAGCCTTAACCATCTTTTTATAATCAACTATTATGTATAGTTGTGATAATGTTCAGTGATGTTGAAGAAGCTATGATGCATTTACAGTAAATGTTATTTTCTGTTTGCAGCGTTCCACCAGAGATCCATTTGCCCGTTACAAGAAGATGCTGGCTGCCATGGATCTCCGTGTGAATAACTATGAACGTTTCTTTCAAGGTTGTCGCAGCATCAAAGCCAAAAAGGACAAGTTTATTTCATTCATGCAGGAGAATGGCTTGAAAGGTATTCATGTTTGTGTCACATACTTTCCACAACAATCATCAAGTGTAATACATATTGTAATTCATTGTCAATGTAATGCATGTATAAATGGTAACTCAAGTTATGGTCAACAAATGCAAAGCTTAAGATGAATTCAAAGGTTTGAAAAACTTTGATATATATAGAGGCTGGATTGTGTTCACTGATTAAGTGTTGAATGGAAGCTTTTCTCTATTCGAGTTTAAAGATTTATATATTTCAAATTAAAATACCTGCATGTTGGAAGGAGCCATTATATGAGTACAAATAAAGCTTCATATCCATTTTATTGATGTAATTGTATCGGGATTTGGGATATATTGTCCATGTTAAATGGAAGCACCAAATAGAGGAATGTTTATATATATATATATAGGTAAATAATTTTGATGAGGAAAGGTTAAAAAGGTTAGCAAAGGGGCATTAGAATTGTTCATATTGCCTTGACAGGCTTGACTTATTTTATTTGAATTTCTAGGTGGTTAGAATTTTATAATATTCCATGAATAACATAAAGACATCATGTTGGCTGTCTGACAACCATGCTGGACAACCTAAGTTCTCTAATGAAATGAATAAAATCAAATGTCAAATAACATTTTTTCTCCAATAACATTCAGAAATGTTCCAAACTCAACAGTTATCAAGGTTAGCATAAGTGAAAAATTAACTCAAGTTTCATAATTTCTAAACTTATTTCCATCTGGAACCATGAATTTTCTAAAATTCAATCAAAACATTCAGCTGTAAAACAATAGATATTAAGTAGTTACAATGACTTGCATGAAACAATGATTTCTCACTGTGGTTCAATGTGTAAATTAGTGATTGCTTCAATAAATGTTTATATAATTTTTGTATATTTGTTATATATGATAACCCACTCCTGCCAGGGACTCCTACTATGGCTAAATGCAAGAAAGTGGCAGCCAAGAACAGGATCAAGAAAGAAATAGCTGATCTAGATGTTGAAAACATCATCTGTGAAACAGGTTTGTCTTAGCCTTTAAGGTTTAAAATATATTCACGTAAATTTATTGTTGGGTGAGGACATCATGTTTGAGTTGCAGTAGCATCACCATACACAGACTACTGATGGAGAATGCATGTTGTGTGTGGATATAAAAGTACAAGAATCCTATTGGAACGTGAAACTGTTGGAGATTGACCTGGCCGGCTAGCCTGATATTGATGTGTGGCTTTGAGGCGTCTAGGACGTTTGGTGGTGGACTGTGGAGGGCAGGGAGTGATTAGGAGTCTGTCCAACTGGGAGAGTATTGTGTTGCCATGCTTATGGCTGCAGTATGAATTCATTTAAGTTGCTTTTTAGCGCATTTTCTCATTCATGAAAAAAATGCACTATTGTGCCCGTCATGTCCGTCTGTCTGTCCGTCCGTGACTTCATGTTTTTGTCGACAAGTAAATGCGCTCTCTGTCCCTCAATGAAGTGAGTACTGAGTTATATTTTTCATATCATTGTAACTTTCTTGTGAAAATTTTAATCAATTCAAGTCTTGGATGTTAAAACAAAGATAAATCACATTTCAATTCTGTCAACTATCTAGTAAATATTTATGAAATGAGCAGTTTATTAGATCTTAGCATCTTGGATAGTGTGAATGCCAGTACTATGGCATTATTACCATGATAGCTTGTACACATTTTTTGCTATACTTAGAACTATTCAATTTTTTTGAGAACTTAAGATAATTTTGACACCAGAAATTTGTTTATTTTACTATTAATTGAAGCCAATGATTTTCAGTTTTGTGTAGTTCACTCAACAGTACAGAACATATGTTGTCCAGGTTCCAATTGCTTAGTTGCATTTTTGTGATTTCATATGTGTGAGGAGGATGAAATTGAGATGCACTGTGCATCTAAATTGAAGATGATGAATATATGGTGCCGCTCACTGTACACAAGTACACTGAGCTACAAATTTAGAAGTGTATGGAAAAGTCACTAAAAAGATTGCTATGTTCACCACTATGTTGAATTCCTCACCTGAAGCCATTTATTATGGTACCTTGTTTTGTCCAGGCCGTCCAAAACGCCGTAATGTTTGGAGCCTCTACACCTCGAAGTCACCAGTAGCACCACAGAGGTCGGGATCTCAGAAGCGCTCTCGCATCCAGCTGCTTTCTGGTAGCAACAGTGACAGTGATGCCAGCAGCAGTGACGGTGGCTGCAACAAAAAATTAGGTAGTGAGTCTGAAAAATTCTCTCGGAAACGTAAATTTCAAAAAGACAGTGATTCCGATGAGCTGGTTCATGAGAACGACTATAAATCAAACTCTAGATTTTTGAGTTCCAGGAAATCTGCCTCAAAAGATGTTTCTCCTAAAAAGAAGAAATCAAAGTCTGACAGTGAATCTGATGATGAAACTCCTTGCAAGCAATCAAAGTCTGACAGTGAATCTGATGAAACTCCTTGCAAAAAATCAAAGTCTGACAGTGAATCTGATGAAACTCCTTGCAAAAAATCAAAGTCTGACAGTGAATCTGATGAAACTCCTTGCAAGAAATCAAAGTCTGACAGTGAATCTGATGAAACTCCTTGCAAGAAATCAAAGTCTGACAGTGAATCTGATGAAACTCCTTGCAAAAAATCAAAGTCTGAAAGTGAGTCTGATAGAACCCCTTACAAAAACTCAAAATGTGACGCCAAACCTTTGAAGAAAATAAGGCAATTGACTGCATCAGCAAAGAAACGACAGAGCAGTGAAAACATCTCAGTCAGAATGAGGTATTCAAAGAATGTAAATCGTCAAAACCGGGGGGCCAAGAAGGCCTGTAAGGAGAGAAATGTTACCGAATCTGAGCCTCAATGTGTGGAAGAAGGAGGCGATGCATCAGATTATGATGATGGAACCACGGTGTCAAAGAAAAGGACCAGAACCCAGGAAACTTCTGATGAAAATGAGCAAAACTCAAAAAAATATAAAATTGCCAGTGATTCTAATGAATAAATGTTACTGCATTGTGTACCGAGTGCAATTAATTCAACTGAAAAAGTGAATTTTCTGAAAATTTGGGACACGAAGGGCACTGCCCTTAATTTCCAGTTGCATAGGTATATACTCTTTTTTTTTTGCTTCAATTTGGCTGGAAATATGCCAGAGAAAAGTAGTACTTATTTCAACTGCAGACTGCAAAATTGACTAATATGTTTTAAGTGGGACTCGAAATAATAAACCGTTTTATTTGTAGATGTAATTAGTTCTCTGCCCGTTTAATTGAATTTCCAATGTTAACTTTTCTAGTTTTTCATATGGCCCTATTAATTTTGTGATTCATATTCTTACATTTTATTTGATGTATATTGAAGTATTTCATTTAAAAATTCACAATGTTTTTATAACACTGGCGTTATAAATGTCGTCTCTGAAATGTGTTTCTAAGAAGACCTGCTATTTTGTTCAATTCTTTACCAGAGAATGTTCTTCACATAGGATTCTCATGTTGGTTGGTATATGCTTTTGCTAAATACACGCAGAATTCTTATGTTGATATGGCTGTAAATTTCGCTTTGTTCACAAAGGAATAACGTTGACGATGGTTAGATTTTAGTTTATTTTACAAATGTATCTGCGTCCTCTTATTTCTGCAAACTGTATCTTGATCTAGCCCCAAGTTGGACGGAAATTAAGCAGCCCTGTATCGTTTGGTTGCTAAAATTCAATAAATAACGTGATTAAAAGATACAATGCATGTTGATTTTAAATTAGATACTTCCATTAATATTAGTTACTTAGCAGGCCTAATGTCCCTTTGAGCCACGCGACGCCACAGAACCACCAAACTGTGAAGGCTGTCACGAGCTGACGTCAGGCTTCTACGCTGCATGTATAGTATGCTCTTCAGCCCTACCGTGTGGTAGAACCCTTGTTCGTGTTTCTTCTCTGTCAACTTCCCTGAGTTTTCGTCTCACATTCAAAGTTGTTTTTTCTCTATGAAACTTCTCAACATGGCAATCATTCGTGACCTTCCCTCATATTTTTAGTGATGAATACTTCTTTAATTTTAGTATGATTGATCGGTAATGACTGCTAATAAATTTATCTCGATTAAATGTCCGCCAACCCCTCAGCGGGGATTTCTGACGCGTGTCTGTGCTCGTCAGAAGTCCTATGGCATTTCGCGCTCCTAGGGAGATTGTTCCTGAGCGCCCCACCGCTGAGCTCGCGGTGGCTGACTGCAGGTCTCAGTTGTGGGGTTAAGTTATTATATAGGTAGGATGCCTTACATTAAGTTATTATGTCGGTAGGATTCCTTACATTAAGTTACTATGTAGGTAGGATTCCTTACATTTCCCTTCTCTGTCTCTCGTGCGGGTGGCGACGTCCCGTGTAAGCGATCTCTTGTTCGAGTGTCTTCGTTTCTGTTGCTTTTCACCTGTCCCTCCTTGTCACTTCGTCTCTTTGAGATGCTAACGCTGCTTCTTTCGAGCCAGTTTCAGCGGGCTGGACATCTGAGGCCTTTCACCCCTTGTGGGTGATGACCTATTTTTGATTTGAGAAACTTTTGATGATTGAGACCTTCCACCTCTTTGGTGATGTTCAACATGACTTTCGGTGCGAGATAGCTAAATAGCTGAAGCGCTAGTAAACATGTGGCCACTAAATTTTCTAACTAACTAAATGTCCGCCATTACTGCGGGATGACTCGTGGAATTATTATCGTTTCATATAACTAACTGGTATTACTTTAAATTCAATAGTTCTGGATTATTTCACTCAAAAATTTCTTTTATAAATATGGAAAATGTTAGTAATACTAACAACCCTGAAGCAATAGGATTGATAATTTTTAGGTTGTTTAATTTCGGTAGCATATTATAGAATATCTTGTATATTATAAGCTCACACTATATAGTCTAGAAATAGTTATATGCAGGTTTGATTGAAGACCAGAGCTTGCTTTTATAAACAATTTTCCTATAGTTTTATTTAGTAATCCCAACAAAGTTTTTTGCTCGGGTTTATATCAAAAAGCAAGTTATCGAATGACATTTTACTGGAATACGATGTTTCGAATATTCAATGTTCATTCTGAAGTAAGTGAAGGCTTGCACAACACTTGAAATTTCGAAATGACATACGTAAGTACATACAAAATGTATGGTAGATACGGTGCGGAATCGAAACTGAAAATTATTTCGAAAACAACTTCAACATCTTTACAAATTCGTGGGTTTTCAAATTTATAGCAGGCGAGTCATGCTTGATGATGAGAGCCTCTACTATCATCAGTCACGTAGTATCGGGGCACCGCATTATGATGGTGATGCAGGCCTCCAACGTTGCGAGGTTGACGGTTTCGTTGCGAGCCTCCCCCATGTGGTTCTTTGGTCTTCCATTTTGTAGGTGGCATTTGAGTCGCGGCTCAGGGTCGAGCTGGTCAAACTAATGTAATTTACATTCTGGAGAAGTCTACAACCTTCTTTCGTGCAGGAGAATTTGTAAATAACATTGCTTTCTTGCAGTGGTCCAGACTTCTTACATGGGTTATTTTTCATGATTAAATTCTTAATTTTTTTTTTTTGTAGTAAATCGAGAGTTTTATTTGGTCAGTTACTATTGTGTAGCTGATGTTATTTTGCACAATTGTTTTGTGGACTCTTTCATATATCCTATAACTACTGTTCATCTGGTTTTCATAGTAAATTCTGGTGACGCAGTCTTTTGATGTGGATTCGCCCATTTGGTTTTATGGTTTTGATGTGCTCGAAAATTGGAAATTTATATGTCGATACTCGATTGTGATAGTCTTGTTCGCATAACCGTTGCGAACAAGAATTTGCTTGCAGGTTTAGAGTTCAGTTTTCGAGTCACGAGCGGGTGTACAGGTTTGGAACGCTCGAAGTATGAGGGTGCGTATGGCGCTGAGGACATTCGCATTCTTTCGACGTCTGTAGGTTTCCCATAAACCTTAGTGGCGAACAAATTATTATCGTTTTGCACCAGTATGTCCTAAAAAGGAAACGTGTGCTTTTGTTCGAATTCTTTACTCATCGTCAAAACGGAATTAAGTTCTAAAGCCACGCGCGCCTCTATCATGTGATCATCGTCTCGAGCGATGATGAAGATGCCGTCAACATATCCACATCGAGGGTTGGGATTAATCTCTGCGTCTAACAACAGTCGCACATGAAAAGTGTGGTTAATGTTGAACCAAGAGGACTGCCCACGGCTACACGTTAATTTGCTAATTTTTACCCTTTATATGTGAAATTTCTTTAACAGGTAATAACATGGTTTAACTATGTATACTAGTTCATCCATGAGTAATAAAATCCATTTCCGAAAAAAAAATCGGAAAAAGCGCATGAAGGAGGTAAAATTTAGATGCTGACGTGATGGAGAACAGATCAATTGATTGCCACGGCAAGGTCAATTGCACTAATTTAAAGGGTGGCCCGGTGGTTAAAGTTTAGAGTACCAAGATTGGCGCAGAGAGGCGCGGATTCGATCCCAGCTCTGGGCACCAGTTTCTGGTCAGAATCGGCAAGGAGGCCGGGCGGTTTAAGCACAGCAGAATTGTAGCAGTGCGTTGCAAGTTCGAGACCGCAAAATGCTGTGAATGTTCTGCGATGTTAAGAATCGGCGACAGGCCTACGGCCTAATAAACGCTGAAACCGCTATTATTATTATATCGTGGCTTAATAAGCACAGTAATATTGAGTAACCGCTTAGCGCTTCACTTGGCAGCGTTACGTTCGTGATTTGAAATCAAATGCTTCCGAAAATACCATATGTACGTCTGAATTTTCAATTTTTAATCGTTCACTTTCTTCCGCTTCAAAGGTCAAGTGGAACTAACGTAACCCAGCTTAATTAATTGAAAAAAGGAGTGTATAATACTGTAAAAATTAACCTTGCCACGGCACAATGAGCATTAAGAACTGTGTATGTTGCGGTAATTTAAATTGGAGCGGTATGTTGCGAAGTTCGAGACAGCAACAAGCTTAGAATGTTCAGCGATGTTAAGAATTGACGACAGGCGTACGGTTTAATAAATACTGAAACCACTATATTATTATTATTATTATTAAGGGTTGTGGATCCAATTGCTTATTATATTTAGTGATATTTTATTGATCCCTTGGGCCTAAAATTGCGGAATCACTCAATTCTCCGGCGCATCTGATGGATCATTTGTTCGCTGCGTGTTTTGGGTTGGATAGCTGGGGTGCGCAGCCGTATACCAGCAAATTAACGCTCAAATCAGCCCGGGAGCCAACATCAACCATGTAAATAATATAGATATTGTCATCTGGCTGACTGGCACCTAAGCAGCTGTAGTCAAGTGACCTATCTCACCACACGAACTTTAATCCAAGTATCCAACACTGCTTCAGGCTTCAGCACACAAGCTGCTACAGCTACTCCACACAGTTAACCGTCAATGCGTTGTTCTCCAATTCTTTATAACCCATACCATCACTTCGTACACATGCTGTTATCCTAAGTGTCCGCTGACCACACTGCATTGCCGCAGATGTGAACTGTACCAAACGGTAATGCGTCATCACCTTACTTACTCCGCAAGACGTTAACGGTTAACCCCGCGTCTTTTTCTTTGCAGGGTGTCCACTACTCCACTTGGAGTGGACTTGAAGCCGCAGGTCTGCCAGATGGATGACCGTTGGGCCTGAGAGCTTATAGCTTGTGGTTTTCAGCTTCTTTGTATATGAAACCTAATTGCTGCTATTTGCTGGCTGCTGCCAATGCCATTTTGTGAGGTTGGGCCTGGTTGGCATAGTGGCAAAGCAGAGAGTTTTTCAGACTCTCCCTCAAGTTCATTTTTGAGTCCTATAAGTAGACCAGTAAAGTAGCCTGGATACCAGCATTATCATACATAAGAACTTGGTTCAAATCTTGAGTCAATGAGGAAATTAAAAATGAACTGATTCTAAAAAATCTCTGGTTTGCCACTATGCTGGTTGGCTGATGTAAGCTCATTAGCTCAGTACAGGCTGAGGCTGTACAGCCTGTACAGGTCCTACAGGATTGGGTAGAATTTTACAGGGAACATATATTAGTACCTATATGAAATGAGTTACTGTTAATCCACTGGCACTATGCAGAGGGTGGATGCAGCGTCCCCAATATATGGACTTTTAAGCCCAAAGCATCGCCGGCCATTTTAAAGATGCGTCGCCGGGTAATTTTTAATGAAAAGCCATTTACGCTGAGTAATGACAAACTATTTACAAGCCACAAACGTATTTAAAAGGTTGCAGGCACGTGTTACCCCACATAACTAATTTTACCCTAAAAACAGTCCGATTGTACAGCAAGTGTCAACTGAACATGTAATAAAGCAGTCTGACTACTCTAATGTGACCGAAACTACGCAATCAAAAAAACGTTTAAATTTTTTGCGGGAGCTCATCGCAACTGATTTCCGGACAAGCTTCGCTGCATTGTAATCCATCCAACCATAGTGGCAAAGCAGAGAGTTTTTTAGACTCTCACTCAAGTTCAATTTTGAATCCTCCAAGTAGACCAGTAAAGTATCATGGATACCAGCATTATCATACATAAGAAATTGGTTCAAATATTGAGTAAATGAGGATGTTAAAAATGAACTAATTCTAAA